TTCGCAAATATGCAAATTTTTCCTAACTTTGAGTACTTCGCTTGAAGAAACAAAACATTTACACATCGATTTTCTTGCATACGTTTGATGACCAATCTAAGGTCTTACTCTGGACGAAATCCTGTGGGTTTTCTCCATATCGGTCATAACGGAAAATACGTGTGAAATAGGAGTATTTTTTACGTTATCAAAAGTGTGCATAATTTAAAAAATTGTCAAAAATCACTAGTTTCTTTTTAGGACTTTATTTTCAGCCAGAGAACGGTTGAGATAATGATAAACACAACGTGTAAGTATAATCACTAAAGGTCAAGTATTTTCGCTATACGAGGTCACACAAATCACTCTTTGTAAACAACAAAAATTTGCATATTTGACCTCTCTCACAAAAAAAATCGTATCTCGCAAACGAAAAAATATTTTTTAATAAAAACACCACAGTGATTCATCAGACATAATAAGGTACCAAAYATGAAAGTTTGAGCGAAATCTAATTTTTTACACTTGCCACGAATTTTTGAATTTGTTTGATGCATGCTGACATTCACTCTTAATAATGAATGACTCATTAGCAATAAGGAGTATGTTTAGAAAACAAGGGAATTTGTATGATTGAATTCAATTATTGTGAAGTTTTCGTATATAACACTGGCTTCTGCTGAACGATGTTGATTTGGAAGAAAATACCTTCACCAATTCTGAAAACAACTTCTATTACAATTAATTAAAGTATAATAAAAAATTATAAGAAGTTGTTCAATAAAAAAGTAGCTTTATACAGTATTCGTTGTTAGTTGATTGTCCATTTATGCATGAATATTTGTTACTAAAGCAAATGCTGATAAGCATGCGTTATTTGAAACAAAATGAATGATCAAGGAACGACCATTAGAATCAAATCATAATATCCAACCAATTCACAAATATCTTAGTTGGTAGGTCTAAGGGATTTCATGCGAGAGGTCAAAGTTTCGAGTCACCGGCGCTGCAAAATAAAATAGAACTAAAAGTAATATGTCAAGTCATCAGGTAGATTAGATTAGGGAGAAAGAGAAAAGAAAGTAAGAAGAAAAAGGAAATAGGGAAAATAGTATATAAAAGCTAGAAAAAATATCAGATGAAGGCAATATTTTGTATAAATATGCAGCTCTGGAATTTGGATATCTGAGGAAACTCCTATAGGACTTGGTTATCCAAATTCTAGGAGATTTGCATGCGGTGTTGGATCAAGGTATACAAATGCATACATGTGACCCTAAAGAGATCAAATGATTGGACAGGCAAGTCATGAATTATTAATGAGTTCGAGAACATTATTTGCAAATTACTGAATCGGGTAGATAATGCACGACTGATAACTTTATATCTAACTCCATCGTTTACTTTTAAAAACATGAATTAATCGGATCGCATTTTATGCAAATTTGCTTTTAAAATTAAACGAAAAATGGAGTTTTTTTTTAAAAACAAAGTTTAGTGGATATGTAAGTTACTAATAACTTGCGTAAAATCAATCCAAACATATCCTAGCATAGGTGAATGAGTGGTTCAGATCGTTAAAAGTTTACAGTAAATGGTTGAAGCGAGCCAAATTCATTATTTACTTTACTCTTTTCAATATCACGATAGCTACACTCATGGCAGTGGTTCCCAATATCATCAAGCTGAGCTCCAAATAGATTTGTGTCTTGCTGAGGACTGGCTGTGTAGAGATAGTTCTGGTGATTTTATTGGTACTTTGGTTTATCGTCTGAAGAAAATAAAAATATAATGATATAAACTAGATATTTTTATAAAGGCCGAATAAATTAATAAATGACTCAATCCACATTTAAGATTGCACAGCTGAAATACACGCATTTTTTTCAAGGACCTTAGTGAAACATATATATATGTCATATAGTTCAAATTAAGGAAAACGAAAATTGGATTATTAAATACTTTCAAAAAACGATAACGTTYCGTGTTCAAAGAATATGGAAACGTCCGTCTTAAATAGGTGCATTTCCATGAAGGGAACGCCAGTGTTACAGTGTTTTTCTAATTCTAACTAGAACAATTTAATAAACTTTAAGAGTATGATTTGAGTAATGTGTTGGTGCTTTTACTCAAGCGAGAGGAAATAGTCATTTAGTCACAAATATGCAAAATTTGAAAGARATTCGTGAAACTACTCAGTTTCATAACGAAAAACAAATGGAATAAATTAGCGACTTACACCGTGGACAAATTCTTTAGAACAGTTTCCCGGGGTTGTATTGTTTCTCATTATGTCCTGCAAACAAATCATTGATATATGATAAAATGCATAGCGCTTTCAAAAGAATATTATAGTGAATCAACAAATAGCGAATCATATGCAATAACGATTCCCGTCAGTTCAGCATGGTTTATGTGCCAGAACTATAATCTATTTTTCCCTTCATTGAAGAACAATGTGGTAAATATACGAATTACAATAGCCGATATGCATTATGGCGTCATATACTACAACTACCAGAATGCTTTGCCAACTTTCTTTTGTACTGCAATTAGTGCTAATTGTTTTATTAATCTCCAAGGGGATTAAAAATCTAAATAACAATGAAAATGCGAAAGGCTCTCTGGTAGTTGTAGTAAACTTACGTCATAAAGCATATGGCCTATTCTAATCACAATTCAATCATCCCCATCATTATAATCATAATAAATGTACTTCTTTGTATGTAATATATAAAATTAGAAAACGACRTTATTTTAGGTATACTTTAATACACAAGAGAGACATCCTACTGTCTGCTATGAACACTATGTGGTCACTTGTACATAGTCGGCGAAAATCTCTATACCTGATAAATCACGATCTGACGTGCTTTAAACGGCTTAAAAAGCACCAACACTAATTTGAAACTCAAACCCGTTAGGATTCCTGGTGAAATGGTCATAAAATTAAGTTTTGAGATAAATGGGGCAAACTGATCATGCGCGAATCATTTAACAAAGCACTCTTGTCTTCCCACATAAAATACGCATAAATTAAAATAGAAGGCCTGGTAGCTGTTTCATTGCAAACGGTTTACAACCTGCATTGGTCAATGGTGATGTATCTATCCTGAGACCTTTATATCTGACAAAGGTCACCCTTATTAGTATTCTTTATATAAAGAATACTAATAAGGAGTGTTTTATCAGATATAAAGGTCAATGCATGTGACCTAATAGGCTCATTCTATTGGCCTAATAACTCATTAATTATGTATGAGTTTTTGAATGCACTATAGTACTTCTTAGCTAGCTTGTCATGATAACTTAGGACGCATTATTGCATTGCTGTACTGCGTACAATTTTTGATCAGCAAGAGCGCGCGCGCGAGCTAGCGAACTATGATCCAGCCATTTGACGTGCTATAGCGCTTAAACGAATGTGGCGAACTATCTTTTTTTATTCCTTTATAATGCTCATATTAAGAAAAGCAAACTAACTCAGTCTGAAAAGAAATCTATGAGCCCATTTGGAGATATCTACGCTCGTGTTCCTAAGCTTGTTTCTCTCGTGTTTTTCGAACTCCCACCGTGTTTATATCAGAGGACAGAGACACGCGCGTCGTTTTATATTTCTTAAATTGTAACTCGCGCACGCACGCGGTGAAATTTGATGCCCTCTAGCGCAAAAAACCGAATCTGCGTTTTGAATGGAAAACGTCTCTCATTACTACTTTCTAGTGTTACCAAATTAAACGTGATACTTTATTTATTCATGTTCTCCTATATTCTTACCTTTTTCGATTCGTTCTTTCCAATTTGAAAAACACTTAACCTCACTGCAGATATATACCATGATTTATATTTCGCCATCAAAAATACAGCATTTCGACTGACAACGTTATCTCTAATAAAAATAAACAATGTAAATCATGTTGGTGATATGAATATTCCGTGACAATGACTCGGGAAATAAACTTTCCAATGAACAGGAGGAAAATAAATATTAACATTTGAAAATTCATTACAAATTTTTAATTTTGAAAGATTCATATTTCGCCGAGCTGCATTTTTTTTAAATTCAATATTTGGAACAAATAAACGGGTCATAGCTTTCGCATAGGAGCCGCTTCTGATGCTTCGGAAAGGGCAGGGACCGCGGAGCAGGGGGGGCTGGGGGGCTACAGCCCCCCCAATAATATTTCTGACATTTTGAATTTTCTTAAATAAAGAAGCGAAGAGCCTCCTTATGAAGTCTTTGGGATTTTATTGATAATATTGCTGACCGTGTCTGCGGTAAATATGTCTTGGATAACGCCTCAAAACGCTGGAAATGGCATTTCCGAGAGTTAAGATTTCAGAAATTTCCGACCCCTCTAGTACCTCCTCGCCGCGCTAGCCCCCCCAAACAAGATCCCGCTCCGCGGTCCCTGAAGGGGAATGTCCGATACTGAAATTCGCATCTCAGGGCGATGGAAGTCCAGTGTATTCTTGCGATACATTCGTTTAGCTTCATTAAAAACTTCTATCTGAATTCAATGACAGTTTAGTATCATTCTATTCCCGGGTAGCAGGGGTATTACTGTATCTTAATGTCTGTCATAGGTCAGCATTTCTTGGTATTTTGCTTGTTCTACATTTTTTACTTTACCTAGGATTTAAATATTTAGTCACTACTGGCAGRGGACAGAGTGCTTTTTATTTGCTTTCTCGATTGTTTTTAACGTGACCTCAAATTTATAGATGTCTGACAGGGGCCAGCATCTCTACTACTTGAATATTTTGCTAAAATGCAAAACATTTTTGAACGTAATTTCCTTGCTTTCATTTTCGTAATTGCAATTCTCTCTGGTGGGGCGGCATCATTATCCGTGGTAATGATGCTTTGGCCCTTTTTTGTGCCCACACCTTTACTGGTSTAAGATTATTTCACCATATTAAATTCAGTTAAATACTAATGAATTTTGTTAATTATTAAATATGGCTGTGAGGGTTATTCCATTATAGCCATTGACTCCATACTCTGTGTGATTGATTTTTTCGACCAGTAAACGAGCTTGATAATTGCAGTAACGAATGAAAGGGRAAAAAAGATTATCATTATTGTTGCAAGGCAYTGAAAATATAAATAGATTATCAAAGATCACAAAGTAATATATGGGAAACTGGATAATTTTGATRATATTTATCTTGTGGTTGAGTTCAGTTTTCTAGAAACTCTTCCCCAGTCCTCTACTCGTTTTTGTAGTTATCAATCAGTTTTATCTGCGTTGTGAAGGTTTCACYATTGTAATGTAAATTTGCAACGCGTTCTCGAGGTGATCTSAGTTTCGTTAAGTTTCGGTCTCGAATTTTGAAGAGGTCGCTTAATTATAAGATGRCAATTTTCTGGCCATTCGAATTTAATCTGCAGAATTGAGCTCTGATCCCTGTATTGTTCATAATAAATATCCCATATTGATTACAATGGCGCGCTTCAATCATGCCAGCAATTAACTATTCAAAACATCAATTGGGAACTCACGGATCACTCTTACCTTCTTTGCAAGAAAACTATATGTCTTGACATATCAAAGGCTTTTGAATTTCTCGGTGCCGTATTTAAATATGATCTGAGATTATTGGTAAGCTGAAATGTTTTCTGTAACAAGAAATTGCCTGTTTAGATATATGATATATGAATCCTTCGGTATCTTCCATGGAGTTATGTCGTAAGTAGTAACATACGCATCCGTGTTGTGTATATATAACATGAAAACGAAAACAAGCCAAAAAAAGTACCTTATTTTGCTCCACTTCACCAAGTACACCACAGTAGCTGTTATATGCTTCTCCTTTCAGCGGCTTTCTAGTGTTTAGATCCCGTATGGAATTGTACAAAGCCTGCATCAAAAGTTTCACTTAATTCAATTTGTACACGATTTGATTAGATTACTGGAAAAGTTAAATAAATCAAAAAGGGATTCGCCTATGTAAGATAAAAGAATTTTTTTCCAGAGCTTTCGGATTAATCGATTCATCTTCAGGGAACTAAATGACTAGTGCTTAAAAACTGAATACACGACGAACATGAATATGTTGTGCTTTATTGGGTTTTCTATCATGATATGGAACTATATTCGGTCTTAACAAAAAAAAGGCTATACAAATAGCTACCAAAGCCATTTAGCTACTCGAAATGCACTAAGACAAATAGGGAAAAAAGGTAAAGAACAAGAAGAAGAGGAAGAGAAAAGGAGGAGGAGTAAAGAAGAAGAAGAAGAAGAAGAGAAAAGGAGGAGGAGGAGGAGGAGGAGGAGGAGGAGGAAGGAGAATAATTTGTCGTAGCACTCCGCGCAGAGGAACAAAAAATAGACAATGATTATTATTATATCAAAAGGTGTCATACCTCACAGAGAATTACTACGTCTATGTCGTTGTCTTTTGTTATGGGACTGTATCTCCGTTTTATTTCGTTTAGTATGAGAAACAAAGAATGGATTACAACTCTTTTATTGGTAAATACGGAAGAGCCTTTGATCAGTTCTTGCATGAGAAACTGTAAACCAGCTGATGAGGATCCATTAAGGTTGGACATCTAGTGRTGACAGTAAAAATATTTATATCATATGTATGATATGTAATGCACGCTCCCATTGACTGAGCCATCACGTGCAAATTTTTTACCTTCAACTGTAGA